ATGGATAAATCCAAGAAAAGAAAAGTTTCAGAAGAAAACAGAACGTTTAATTCAACTACATATGCTAGTTTTGTGGCCACTCAGGAAATAATCAGGTTTTGTGACTCCCGATGTTTTCTTTTCTGTGGGAAATGTCTCCAAATGGCTCTTGAGTGTGTAAGATTGCCGACCCCTGGTCTTGACTTTGCTGGATTTGGGTTTGGCCAGTCTGGAGAAAAGAAGGACGAGGGGGGATATGATAGCAATCTTCCAGTATTTTAGGGGCTGCCCCAAAAAAGAGGGGGGTCAATTTATTCTCCAAAGCCCCCAAAGGCAGGACAAGAAACAATGGATGGAAACTAACCAAGGAGAGAAGCAACTTAGAACTAAGGAGAAACTTCCTAACAGGGATGACAATTAACCAGTGGAACTGCTTGCCAAGAAGTTGTGGGAGCTTCATCACTGGAGGCTTTTTTAAGAAGAGACTGGACAGCCATTAGTCTGGAATGGTATGGGGTCTCCTGCTTGAGCAGGGGGCTGGACTAGAAGACCTCCAGGGTCCCTTCCAGCTCTATTCTGATTGATTGATTGATTGATTGATTGATTGATGGATTGATCGATATGGTCGAGGGTCTCCTTCTTGAGCAGGGGCTGGACTAGAAGACCTCTAAGGTCCCTTCCAACTCTATTCTGATTGATTGATTGAATACTGGGAGTTGAAGTCCCCCCCCCCCCACACACACACAATCTTAAACACTGGTCTTTAAAGAACTAATGTGGGGGATTTGGGACCGAAGGACGGGAAGGGAAGGGGTGGATTTTTTGCTGCCCTGGTTTGGCCAAGGGATCACTTTAGATAGCTCTCCCTGGACAGATCTGCGGGACGATTCATCCCCTATGTCTATACCCCTCTTGAAATACAGGCAGTCCTTCACTTACAACAGTTCATTTAGTGACCGGAGTTACAACGGCACTGGGGGGAATAAAAAAGTGACTTTAGGTCCATTTTTCACACTCACAGCCTCCCCACGGTTATACGACCCAAATTCGGCCGCTTGGCCACTGACTCATTAGTTACGACGGCCACTGTGTCCCCGGATCCCCTTTTGCAACCTTCTAACAAAGTCAATCGGGAAGCCGGGTTCACTTAATAACCATGTTACTCCCTTCACAATGGCTGTGGTTTGCTTAATGGCCGTGGCCAGAAAGCTCGGAGGATGGGGCAAAAATTCACTTGAATGACTCTCGCTTAGCCAGAGGGCTCAGTTTCAGTCGTAAGCCGAGGATTACCTGTGTCAGGTGTTGGCTGGCAAGAGAGGGGAAAGGTCTGCATGGCCACCCATTGAAAGGGTGGGAAGTCACTGTGCCCAGCAGGCACAAGCCAGGCTGAACCTCTCCTGGCATCCCATACGGAGCCATCTTTTTAAACCTCCTTGTGGGGTTCTTGGCTGCCCCTTCAGGACCTTTTGAGCTAGGATTCCTGGCTTGTTCCTTTAGAACACGGCCTGTGGTTTCTCTCGGAAGGACCTCCGACATCTTTTCCTTCCTCCTCTTCTTCCTCCTCCTCCTCTTCCTCCTCTTCTCTGTAGCCCTAGAAGCGCCTTGGAACCAGACTCGGCCAGATAAATTTCCCAGCAGCCTAGAATCGGAGAATGGTGAGTCACTGGAAATAAGGGGAAAAAATATTGTATTGTATTGTATTGTGCTGTGCTGTGCTGTGCTGTGCTGTGCTGTATTGTATTGTATTGTATTGTATTATTATATTATATATATTATGTATTATATTATATTGTATTATTATATTATATATAAAATAAAAATATGGAAATAAGGGGGAAAATATGTACATGTATGTACGTATGTACGTACGTACGTATGTATGTATGTATGGTATTCAGCTTTGTTCAGGTATTTTCCCACGTCATTATAGTTGTACTTTTAAAGTTGTAGCAACGTTTCGGCAGAATCTCATCTGCCATCATCAGGCTTCTGTATTGTGTTCGTCTGTGAGTCAGGCTTTCACAGCCGTTTCTGTTTTAAATTTGGGGCTAGCCTACTGCTTTGCCAGAATGGTTTTTTTCTTCATCCTGATTGGTTGGGAGTCTTGGTCTGTGTTTATTGGTCTTGGAGTTTGCTGTGTTCTGCTTGATTGGTGTTTCTAATATCTTCTGTCTCTTTTGTAGCTTTTTTTTTGGTCTTGACTGGCTGGCAACATTGTGTTTCCTGTATTGGAGGCTTTTAGTGCGGCTTGGCTCCGAGTAAACGGATGGCTATCATTTATTAGGAAGCTAGGTTTCATCTGGGTGCCTGGTTGGGGTGTGTTTGAGCTGGAGGTATCGGGGGGGGGGGGGGGGGGCGG